AACACTGCCTCTGTCCTTGAAAGAGCTAACTTCCTAATAGAGGACAAGGAAATAATTATAGAACTATGTGGTGAGTACCATGGTAGAGGCAGGTGCAGTGTGCTTGAGGAGCATTCAGAGGTAGTGGTGATGAGGAGACCTAATTTGGGAATTACCAAAAAATGCTGATAAAATCGTATCTTAACCTATTTTTTAATTAGTAATTATTAATTAAAGTCCACACAAATCACTAACTGTACAAATGGGGAAAATTACCTTTAAAAAAACCTCTCAAAATTTATAAACCACATAATGCTTATAAAATTAATGGTACTATGGGGTGCCTGGGTGGCTCAGTGGGTTAAAGCCTCTGCTTTCGGCTCAGGTCATGATCCCAGGGTCCTGGGATCAAGCCCCGCATCGGGCTCTCTGCTTAGTAGGGAGCCTGCTTTCCTTCCTCTCTCTGCCTGCCTCTCTGTCTACTTGTATTCTCTGTCAAATAAATTAAAAAAAAAAAAATTTTTTTAAATTAACGGTACTCTGAATCTCAAACAAAACACTCTTCAGCACTTAGAAGAAAGGCAGTGTGCAAGTCAGAGAAAAGATTCCAAAGATTCTACCCTATCCTGGCAGTTGGGAAGACAAAGCGTAACCAAAAAATTAAACAACAATCTAAGAGTTAAGTAACAAGAAACTGACAACAATACAAAATACAAAACCAATCCATGATTAACGTCATAAAAAATACAGTCAACCAATATTCCCAATAAATCCCAGGGATCTACAAGGCAAAAAACAAAAAACTATACAGACGCGTTTCTTATAAACTAAGTATGTGTACAGATAGAAAGCTATACTTCACACAACACTTGAGAATAAGGGGAAAGATTCTTCATTTCTATATATACAGTTCATCCTGACTTACAAAAAGGTGTGAAAAAACTTCATGTAAACTGTTTAATGAATTAAATCATATTTTTTAAAGAGATTATTTATTTTAGAGAGAGAGATGAGAGCACTCGTGCCTGCAAGCACCCATCAACTGTGGGGGAGGGGAAAGGAGGAGGCAGAGGGGGAGAGATAGAGACTCCCAAGCAGACAACCAGAGAGGAAATCAAGAGTTGGGACATCTAACCAACTGAGCCACACAGGTGCCCCTAAATCATATTTTTAATATGAGAATGTGTAACTTAAGTAAATCCTATTACAAAACTTCTCTAAAACAGTAACGTAAAAAAAAATTTTTAAAAACCAATAACCTGGGGCACCTGGGTGGCTCGGTGGGTTAAAGCCTCTGCCTTCAGCTCAGGTCATGATCCCAGAGTCCTGGGATCGAGCCCCGCATCGGGCTCTCTGCTCAGCAGGGAGCCTGCTTCCTCCTCCTCCTCTCTCTCTGCCTGCCTCTCTGCCTACTTGTGATCTCCGTCTGTCAAATAAATAAATAAAATCTTAAAAAAAAAAAAACCTATTAAATGTCAGTTAATTAGTTGGGAAATAAATTCAATTTTATATTACATATATTTGATTTATTTCTACCTGGCTTAATTAAAATGAGGTTCACCTCTAAATGTAGCCAACATACCTCATTATCAGAAATCACAGTATTCATAAAATAAATAACTCACAGGAATGTAACATACAGCATAGAGAATATAACGAATAAAATTATAATAACTTTGTAAAGTGACAGATGGTATCTATAGTTATTGTGGAGATCATTCTGTAATGTAAAAAATATTAAATAACTATGATATACACCTAAAACTAATAGGATACTGTGTATCAATTATATTTCAATAAAAATCAATTCATAAATGTTTATTAACTTGGTCATTACAGAATGAGAACACTAAGTGAAGTCAAAAAAATTTTAAATTCTTAAACTTCCTAGTGGTGGAATTACAATTAGAATTCAGATATTCTGACCCTCAATCCAGTGCTCCTTGCATTATACCAGAAAATTGAGAGTTTTCTCAAAATGTTTTTAGTAAATCCATTCTTCCTTTACTATATTTCTAGTTATTTTTGTCTGTCAACAAATATTGGCTAAGAAAAACTTAAACACACTCCTTCAGTGAGAGTCCAGGAAAAGAGAGGCATTGAGTTTTTCCCATTTTTCAGAAGCCAGGTTTGGTTTTTTTAAATTCATAACAGGAGATACCTTGAATTCACAACTAAAAATGTTAATTTATAAATTTTAATTAATGATTAAAAATTTTTAAAACCCACAAAATCAGAATCTGATTAATATAGTTGTATAGGATATTTTATAATTCCTGTGATTTTTGTTTCTATATATATACCAACAAAAGAGTAACACTGAAATTCAAAAGTTTAGCCTAACAAGAGTCAGCAATATATGCTACAACTATTGAGTGACAGATTATTGGGGAACAGCTAGCACTACAGTGCTAATTTATCATGCCAGATTGCTAACTGCAGTTGGGAAAATAAACCTTACCTTAACCCCCATAACCAAGTGATCAAACTCAGCATCACAAATAATGGGACTTGACAGTATATGACCTGATGGGAAGCAATATGAACTACACAGTATCACTTAAGGGTTATTCTTGCCCAAAATATTTAATTTGAAATTAATCAAGCCTTTAAAGCTAGCTTACAGTTAACTAATACAGGGGAACAGAAGAACACACTAAATGACACTATTGGGGGGGCGGATGTTGCGGAATCAGACAAATAGAAAATGTAACTCATTTTATAAGACCACTGGCTTGATCTTAAAAAAAAGAAAAGAAAAAGCAACTTCATTTTAAAAGGGGGAGGTGAAACTGTTCTAGATTCAAAGAGATCAAAGAGACTTAACCACCAAATGCAGTGAATAAATCTTCTATCTTGGTCTGGTGTGACTGGGTGTGAAAAAATCATAAATGACCAAACAGTATACACAGAGAGATTTAAATATGAGATTTAAATATGAATGTTAGGTTACGTTAAGGAATTATCAATTAAGAAACTATCAACTAATTACTGATCGGAAAGTATGAACTAAAAAAATTAACAATAATGGTATTTTGACTATCTTAGGAAATGTCCACCTTTGGAAATGTATGCTGACATATTTAGGGATAAAGTGTCATAATGTTTACAGCTTAGTTTCAAATGGCTGAACCAAAAATAATACACACATATTTACAGATAAAGTAAATACAAGATGTCAATACTGAATCTAAAGGATCATGATTCACTCTATTAGCAATTTCCTGTATGCCTGAAATTATTTCATATTTAAAAAAAAGTTGGGGGAGGATACGGAGGAGCCCAGAGAGCTCCAGTTCTACAAAGGAAAAAAAGATGAACCCAAAACCAAAGCTGTCAGGACCCTAACGTGGCTTCATTTTAACACAGCATCTATTAAGCACAGTTTACCGCTTTGGTAGCAGCAAGGTGAACTAAAAATGAAAGATCCATTAATAGACTCAGTCCATAATGTAATCCAATTTTTAAAAATAAGCCTTTAACAGTTACTTCTCTCAAAAGAAACACATGGAAATCACACCAAGATAACCATTCTATAATGGTATCACACTCAATATAAATCAACAGGACTCAAAATAGTTCACATTTTAACCAAACAAATCAATCTATGAACTAACCACTTGTCGACTCTATAATCTGACCTTTTCTCCACAGAGACAACACAAAAATATTCAATTACAAATTTTCTTAAACCTGATAATATACTGGAGAAAATCAGAGTACTGTAATTGGATACATTCCTTAAATATTTCTAACTATACATTAAGCCTCTGCTATTCAAAGGAATCTATTAATATTTTTTTCTATAAAAAGAAATATCCTTTTTCCTAACGATAATCAAAGAAATAATACGAGCCAATGCTAAAATGACAATTTTTGGTTTATAACCACTTATTAGTCACCACACACCAATGAAAGGGGAAAAAAAAATCACACCATTACAAGATAAATTTCTACGATATTCTACACACTAATTTTGACAACTCCGAAATATTGCATAAGACTGCACCAATTACTAAGTATGTTCAGCCATTGCCACACAAGTCAGCAACAAGTTTTGCAATAAGGAAATCTCAAGCTAATAACCTAACTGCGAGTTCCCTGTATTTGTCAAGAACAAACTGCACAAGTAAAATTTAACTTTTCAGGACATATGCATTTTACCAATTATATTTATTTTTTGTGTCATCCTTTTTTAATTTTATTACATTTCTTTTTTTAATAAAAGTTAATTTCTTTTTTCTGTTCTGTTAATTTTTTTTTTTTTTTTTTTTTTTTTTACTGCAAACGGGTAAAGGTGCCCGGCGCCACCTTTTAAAAGTAATTTTTAAAAAGAAAAAAAAAAAGCCAAGAAAATTATTTGGCTAAGCTGCAGCAAAACACACTGAACAGCCTAAGTACAAGAAAACTACATATACCTACGTTTAGAATTTACTCCTAGGAAGAAACTCTCCAACTATTCTCATTTTCCTCACATAATTTTTTTCAAGACTCAAAAATACAGTCCTACGGAAAATACATATATGGGAATCAAGGCTTCCCGAATTACCAGCTGCAATGACCTTGGGCAAATTCCCTAATCTCTCCGAGACTCAATTTTTCATCTGTAAAATGGGGAGACACGTACCGACCTCATTGTGCTGAGAAGACGAAGTCAGACAAAACAAGACAACTGCCGGCCGAACGGTAAATCCTAAAGCTTAAGAATCACCCCCCCACCTTCCCAATCAGTAGATTATCACAGTGTGACAGTGCAAAGACAAGCACTTTTTCGCTTACTCCATGTAACACTTCTTCTCCCAGAGGGCAACTGCAATCTTCCTTCTAAAATCCATGCAAAGTACGTGTCTGACAGCTACACAGCCCAGCAGTCTACTGCGCTCAGACCTGCGGCTCGGGACAAGATTCAGGGACCCCCGAAATCTCTCCACCCGGAGGACAACCACCTAGCGAAATCCCTGCCTGGGGAGCTGCGCACAGGCCCGCCACGGCCCCCGCCCCACACAAACACAGGCACGTACCGGCCGTTCCGCGGGGACGTAGGGAGCCGCAGGCCCGAGGAGGGGCAGCCGCTGCCTCCGAGCCCGCCCCTCCGCCCCCGCGCGGCCTGTCACCGCGCCCCCCTGTCGCGGGAGGCCGCGGGCCCCCGGGGGCCGGAGGGGCGCGCGAGGAGTCTGGCGCGGGCCGGATCCCTCCTTCACATGGAGCCCGCGCCGGGCGGGGTGGAGTGCGCGTGGACGGTCGCGGCCGACCAGGGCCTCTCGGCTCCCCCTCGGTACTTCTAGCCGCCGCGGCCCCGAGGCCCGCGCGAAGCTGAGCAGGAAAGGAGGAAGCCGTGGGCCGGGCGCCGCCAGAGGCCGGAGAAGGGGCAGGAGCGGCGACTCCGCGGTTGGAGGTGCCGGGCCTGCCGGTCGTCGTCGTCGTCTTCGCCCTCGTAGCCGCCGCACGCCGCACGACCCCTGAACACCGCACCCAGCGGCCGCACCACTTTCGTCAGGCGCCGCCGCTGAGGGCAGCGAGCCGCCACTACACACGGACCCGTGACGTCGGGCGTAGCGCGGCGCACGTCATGGACGGCTCGCCTGTGCGCGCGCAGCCCTCCGCCCGCCGGGAGCGGAACCCGCCACGGGCGCGCGCGCCCAGCCTGCAACGCCGCACGCAGGCCGAGAGGACCGTGCCCGCGCCTGCGCAGTGGCCGGCTGCGCCCACACACGCTCTGCTTCCCCCAGCGTTGGGCAGTGCGGGGATTCCCAGGCCCGGTCAGCCCCGGCGCGAGCCCCGCCCCTATCTCCCAGCCGCGGCTCGGGTCCCCGCGCGCCGGGCACACGCACGCGCGTCTATATCCCCTCACCTTCTGCGGGAGTCCTCGGCGCCGGAGACTTCCAAGCAAACCCAGGGGAGTGTCTCCTGCGTGGTCTTTAAGCCCGGCGCGGAGCAGCAGAGCAATGAAAGACTGCGAGCGACTCTGAGTCCGTAGCATGTTGTTTGCAGGCAACAAGCCATCTGCCTCTTGATTTTCGGACTTCATTGCAGAATTTTTTTTTCTTTTTTTTTTTAAGTCTTTATTTATTTATTTGACAGAGAGTGAGATCACAAGTAGGCAGAGAGACAGGCAGAGAGGAGGAAGCAGGCTCCCTGTTGAGCTGAGAGTCCGATGCGGGGCTCCATCCCAGGAGCCTGGGATCATGACCTGAGCAGAAGGCAGAGGCTTTAACCCAGTGAGCCACCCAGGCACCCCCAGAATTTTTTACTGAAGGACTTTAGAAATTACTGTCAGCTTGTCAACTAACAGTAAACCACGCCCACCCCCAACACACACCCGGGTTCGGCCTTCTAAGTTTTACAGCTGTTCTCTGTTTAGTTCCTATCACCATTCTAGGTCGGTCCAGCAAGTACTACTTTCCCAGTTTAACACATGTGGAAACAGCTCAGAGATGAGTTGACACCCCACCCCTCGAGCTAGTAGCATAATCTGAAACCTGAATCTCTTTTCACTAATTCCTTCCTTCACTCTCCATCGCCCACAGGATAAAACACAAATTAATCGTTTTGGCGTTGGAGGTCCACCGCGAAGTGACCTGTATTCTGTTTTTAGCCCACGCTACTCTGACCCAGGAAACATCTTTTCCGCCCCATCTCTTCTTTCCTCAAGTACCCTCCCCCCTTACAACTTCCTGTACCATTTTTTCCCTCGTTCAGCGTCTACTTGGTTTCTCGGTACATTATGGATTTCACCCCTTCCTGCGTGTTCCAGACCACATTTCCATTCCAGCAACTGAATTGTGAGAGATGGGAGCCACACCCACCAGGCCTGGAGGTGAGCAACTGCTCCAACTCGGGGAGTCCTAGCTCCTCAAGGGAGCTGGCATCCGTGGGGCAGGAACTGAGGGAGAGAGTGTTGTGTAATAACAAAATATCTGGGTCCCCTTCCTCGAATTCTCATTACAGACCCTTTCACAAAGATGTAAAAGGCACAGGAGCGAAGTTGTTATTTGACAGGTGTTTGTAAAAGAGAGAGCCTCAAAACAACCTAAATGACTATCAGCCTGAGCTGATAATGGTTCATCTGCTCTGCAGAGAATTAGGCAGCCAACACAAAGAAGGGCCAATACCAAAGGACCTCAGAAATACAGAGCTCAACAGGAAGTCAATTTGCTCCCACTTGTTTAGAAAGTAGGGGATTTTAAAGCTTAAGTACACATAAAGTCAAGGTTTGTTGTTGTTTTTTAAGATTTTTTATTTATTTATTTGACAGATGGAGATCACAAGTAAGCAGAAAGGCAGGCAGAGAGAGAGGAGAAAGCAGGCTCCCCACTGAGCAGAGAGCCTGATGTGGGGCTCGATCCCAGGACCCTGGGACCACGACCAGAGCCAAAGGCAGAGGCCTTAACCCACTGAGCCACCCAGGCACCCCAAAGTCAAGGTTTTTAAGTGTTTTGATTCTAACATTCTAAGCCTGGTGTGCCACAGAAAGGAGTTCTTAGTATTTTTGAGGGCAAGATTTAAATCCTGTATTGTTTTTCCACAGTTCCTGGCCTGACTGCATAGCAGACACTCAATAAATACCTGTTTACTAAGTAATGTAGAGATGAATTTTTCCTCCTACTTCTGCTTACTTCTTCCCTCACCAACTTACCTGGAGACTTCATTCACATCTGGTTCCTCAGAAAAGCCCTACATGAATATTAACATTTTTTTTCTCCATTCTCTTTTTACATTGGTGACTTTTTCTCTTGCTAAGACATTAAATCTCCTGCATCTTTGGCGATTTTAGTATATATGATTACAAATTGTGATCTTGGGATTTTTTTCTTGATGAAACTTCATTTAATCAGTTTTTTTTGTTTTTTTTTTTTTGCTTTCCTGCTCTGTGCCAGAGATCACAATGATGAAGTGATAGGTTCCAACATTTCTCAGGAACTCTGGAATCTTGTGAGGAGGGCAGACTGCTAGGTGGATTATTATAATAATGACTTGCCCCGTAGCAGAGCTGTGTATGAGGTGCCCCAGCAGCAGAGAGAAGTCACAGGTGAGCTGAGGAGTGAGGAAGACTTCAGAGGAGAGGCATGGTATGTGAGTTTTCTATTGCTGCATAACCAACTGCCACAGACTTAGTGGCTTAAAACAACGCCTATTTAGTAGTTCATAGCTCCCTAGGTCAGAGTTTGCATGGCATCATGGCTGTGTTCTCTGTTCGGTATCATCAGGACATCAGCTGGGCTGGTTCTTACCTGGACGTTCTGGGGAAGATCTGCTTCCATCCTCATTCTTGTTGTTGGCAGAATTCATTTCCTTGTGGTTGTAGAGTTGAGGTCCCTATTTCTTTGCTGGCAATCAGCCAGGGCCTGCTGTCAACTTCCAGAGCTCCCCCCACCCTGGCCTCCTGCATTCCTTGCCATGTGACTCCACCCTTTGTTCTCAAAGCCAGCAACAGAGAATTTCTTGAAAATCAAATCCCCCTCACGTGCTGAATCTCTGCCTGACTTCCTCTTTTGTTACCAGTCAGAGAAAACTCTCAGCTTTTTAAAAAGTTCATATGATTAAATTAGCCCCTCCCAGATAACCCGTTCTTAAATCAATTGTGTTGGGGTGCCTGGGTGGTGCAGTCATCTGGGCATCCGACCATTGGTTTTAGCTCAGTCATGAGACTGAGACCTGTGTGAGGCTCCACGCAGAGTGTAGAGTCTACTTGGGGCTCTCTCTTCCTCAGCCCCTCACCCTAAATAAATAAATAAAACTCTAAAATAAATAAATCTTTTTTAAAAAATCAATATGTCATACCACATAATCTAATCATAGAAGTATAGTTCATTATATTCACAGTACCAAGGGCTATGCAGGCCATCTTTACCAGTGGGATCTTCAGGGACATATGAGAATCCTGCCCGTCACACATGGTGAGCTGAAACATAAATTCAAGAAGTTATTTGCTGGGAGGAATCAGGATGGAAGAATGGGCATTCCAGGCAGAAGGACTCAAGTGTACACAAGCTTGGAAGTATAAGAGAATAGCCCTGTCCTGGGAAGGGTAGGAATCGCTAGCCTTGGGATATTGGGAGAAATGTAGCCAGGGGGTAAACCCAGAGAAGAGAGCAACCGGATGAGGAAGGAAGGGTGTTTAAGCAGGCTAAAGATCTTGAGTAAGGAGATAAAGATCTAAACCACAGCAGTAGCTGAGGAAGTGATCTGAGGACTATCATTTGGGATGCATTCAGCTGCAAGGATCAAAACACCTAGCCCAAAACAGCTTGAAGAGTGAAGATTCTTTTCTTACATAGCGAAAACCCAATAGAGGGGCCCAAGTTGGTTAGGCCATGAATTGCCATCTCTGCTGTCAGAAGGTGACTTCCTCACCTCCAAATAGCTTGGCATCCTACACAGGAAAGGGGAAGGATTCATATATTCATTCCCACTCTCTGTTTCTCTCTTTCTCATAATCTTTTAATTTTTTAGAACAGATTTATATTTACAGAGAAATTGAGCAGATGGTACAGAGTCCCCATATACCCCACATCCAGTTTCAATTATTAATATCTGAAACATTTGTCAAATTAGGGAACCAATATTAATAAATTGTAATTAACTGAAGTCCACACTTCATTCAGATTTCCATAGTTTTTACCTAATGTCCTTTTTCTGTGTCTAATGCCATCTAGTATCCCACTTTATATTTGGTCCTCCTGTTGACTTACGCTCCTCTTGACTATGACGTCCCTTGTTTTTGATGACCTTAACAGTTCTGAGAAGCACTAGTCAGGTATTTTGTAAACTTTTCCTCCACTGTGGTGTGTCTTATGTTTTTCTCATGCTTAACCTAGGGTTATGAATTTAAGGGTGACTATCACAGAGGTAGCGTGCCTTTCTTATCACAACCTATCAGGGGTACGCATCATCAGCATGACTTACGGCTGTTGAGGTTGACCTTGGTTGCCTATTTAAATCCTCACTTGTCAAATTTCTCACACTCTTTTCTACCCCCCACTTCCCATATTGTGCTCTTTGAAAGGAAATCACAGTGCTCCCACCTAAGGAGTGGGGAGTTGTGTTTCTCTTCCTAAGAGTGCAGAGTATCTATATAAATTCCTTGGAATTCTCCATAAAAAAATGTGTATCTTCTCTCAGTTATTATTTATGCAATCATTTATTTATATTAATATGGACTTATAGATATTTATTTTACAGTTTGGGTTGTAATCCAATATAATATATTTACTTTGTTGCTCAAATTGTTCCAGATTTGGCCATTTGGAGTTCTTTCCATTGGTTCCTGTGACCCTTTGACATTCCCCCACCATTGTGGGATTTTCTTTGCTTGTCCTACCTTTTGAGTACTTCCTTACTTTCTGGCATTACCAAATGTGCCAGACTCATCTTGAATATTTCTACCCCAGTCCTAGAATCAACCATTCTCCATGGAGTTCTGTTTTCTCTTATTAGAGAATAACACTAGAAACCAAAATCTGTGATGTAATGAGCACTGGGTAATATATAAGTCTGGTGAATCACTAAATTCTACCTCTGAAACTAACAATACATTA